GTCTCTCTCTCTCTCTCTCTCTCTCTCTCGGCTATGGTCTCTCTCTCTCTCTCTCTCTCTCTCTTGGCTATGATCTCCAAGACCGCATCTCCTACTAAATGAGTGACCTTGTAATGATGCTAAATTCTTCCGACGAAATTTCGTGACAATTTTTTTGAAAGTTATGTCTAAATGTTTAAACTTGCTTAAACTTATTCATTTCTTTTATTGGTGCAAATTTAAATATTCATTAATCAAGTATTTAATCTTTTGCCGAAATTAAATTTTATTAATTCCTACTTTTTCGATTAAAATTTTATTTAATTTTCCAAAAAATCACAAATTCGTCCGGGGGGGGAATTGTTTTTTCTTTGTTTAGTGTCAGACTTCGAGGTCAGGGGACAAGGGACTGTCTGTGCATTGTGTGCCTTTTTGCCCCTCCTCCCCACCCAACCTTCTCTTCTCCTCTCGGTATACGGTTGCCAGCATCCGGACACGTCAGCAGAGGGCCACCTCAGCAGTGACACGTCAACAGAGTGCCACCTCAACAGTGACACGTCAGCAGAGTGCCACCTCAGCAGGCGCCACCTCAGCAGTGACATATCTTGATGCGCCGAAGCCAACAACTGGCCGAAGGCGGATCCGCAGGAGCCAAGCCTCAACAGGAACTTAGCACCCCTCAGATTCCGCGCAGGCCACGCACGACCATGGCTGCTACCTCTGACAACAGTGCACCAGCTAGCCCCAAGAGGCCGATTACCCCTCCTCTCCCAGTTCAGCAGGCCGATGAACCGCTTCTAGCGTTCCTCGACCGTCTCCAGCAGTATTCGGAGACGACGGCAGCTGAACTACGCAAGTGGGAAGAAGAGAAAGTCGCCCGCCAGCAGGAAATACAACGCCAGCAGGCAAAGGCAGCAGCAGCACGTCAGCGGGCCGCAGCAGAAGCTGCAGCAGCCGCAAGGTTGCAACAACAGCAGCTCGAGGCAGATCAGAACCAGGCTCGTTACTAGGCCACGATGGACCTTGCTCGCGACGAAGCCACATATGTCAGGCTACTTCGACAACAGCATTTCCAAGAGACCGAAGAACAAGACCGCCCAACCGATGAAGAAAGAGACAAGGAAGGGACAACAGTACTAATGGAGACTCTGCTGTATACGTGCAATTGGCAGCAACGTGAACTGCTCGCCACGTGGCAGGTTCTCATCCGCCATGAAACAACACTCAAGGCAATGGACAAGAGGATCTCGTCGCTGCAGGCCGAGAACAGCACACTGCATGCCGCCAACAGCCAGCAGCAGACACTCAACCACCAGCTGCAGGCAGATGTCAGCAAAGGGTTGGCACAGCTGTCAGCAGCTACGTCAACGGGCAGTGCAGCAGTCGACTGCAGCCCAGCTTTGGCCACACAGGCAAAGCAATTGGAGGAGCGGGTCAATCATTTAGTCGCATCCTTGGGCGACATCAACAAGCTTGCAGGAGCCTGTACAGTCTGCAATCAGCTGCAGACGCTCAGCGACCGCGTTGACCAACGTTCGGTCACCGTCGCCAAGGACTGAAAGATGCCGAACTTCAAGATCGAGAAGTTCGACGACTATCACAAGACCGATCCACTGCAATGGTGGCTAGCATTCAACGCAAAGGCGGACGTGCATCACACTCCACCACTGCGACGACTTGACGCTCTCTACCTCCAACTTATTGGAGGAGCACAGGTCTTCATGACTCATATGGCAGTCACATTGGAATGCACCATCGCCACCCTCCACACCAAGATCACGTGGGAGGAATTCGAGAAGAAGTGGAAGACCCGGTTCATGGTCAACAACGACAAGCGTCACGCCATGAACAAGATCTTCCGCATCTACCAAGGCCAGCAAACATCACGGGAATGGCTGACGGAGTGGCAAAGACTCGTCGCCACCCCGGAGTTGGGCTTACCATTCGACGCAATCCGGGCTGAATTCTTCGCTCGGTCATGCGACGCTTTGACAGCTGCGCTTGGTATGGAATTCCAATATGAGACCTTTGATGATCTAATCTCAAAGGCAAGAGACCTAATTCAAGGTAACCGGTGTGCGGCCAATGAGACCCGCCAACAACCCGGTTACGTGGAGAAAGGCAAGGGACAACGGACGCCGCAAGTAGCAGCAGTCCAGCAAGGAACAAGTGAGGACCACGCAGCCGCTTCAACATCAAGTGATGGAGATGTGGCGACAGCGATACCACCGTGACGCACGAAACCCCGAGGGGGAAAGAAGGCGAAAGAAGCGTCGACGGATGGAGCACGACAGGCATCATGGATGAAATTTGGCATTACTGAAGAAATGTTCAAGTTGCGACAGAAATGGTCATGTTGTTTGTGGTGCAACAGCACCAAACACATCACCAGTGCGTGCCTCGACAAGGATAAGGAAAATGTCCAGCGTTCGGGCTCGGGAAACTGAGCACCGCGGGAAGTGCAGCGACAACATTTCCCAGTCCGCCGGAGTCGGCTGCCTTGCTAGCAGCCTCTCTCACATCCGGGGACACCGCGGTAGTCGCAAGTTCTCGCGTTGAGTACGAGAACTATGCTGTCGAGCTGGTCCCACCGCTGAACCAGCCTCTCCACGTGCAAGATTCAAGCGTATGCGCGACAGTTCCGCCGTCGGACAACGAACCGGTTGCTTCGCCAGCCCTTCTATCGGAGGATCCGTCAACTTGGACGAGACTTGAGGATCTCGACCCGTTGACGGTTGAGGACTTCCAATGGTTGCCTCTTCCCTCCACCGGTTCTTTGCCAACTCCACATTGCAATGCCTTAATGGCACATCTACGCGAATACTTGCACGCTGCACTGCAGATTGCAGTTCCACCTCCGTCGACGAACGGCGGAGTAGTGGTTGTTGATCTCTGTAACTATCTTGCGAAGATCGACCGCGAGTACGCAACGCAACGGTACGTCGACAACGACGTGCCGCTCCTCTATATCCGCATTCAGATCGAAAAGGCGACCTGCAGTGCCTTGATCGATTGTGGAGCGACTCGCAACTACATCAGCCAAGACTTCATGGCACGCGCCGGGCTCGGCCCGCGCGTTCGAAGGAAAAGCCAGCCTACGCACGTCACGTTGGCCGACGGTCACACGCAAAAGTCAATCGACCGATGCGTTGACTAAAGGCCCATGTACTTTGCCCCGCTGGCAAGCGAGGCCGTGTCTTTCGACATATTGGACACCAAGTTCGATATGATCCTAGGCATGTCGTGGCTGCAAAGCGAAGACCACCCGGTGAACTTCCATCGCCGCACCGTTCACGTTCGTGATCGGCGTGGCGAACTTGTCCCGTGTACGGTGCCGCTTCCTCATCCTTCGATTGGTTGTCACGTGGTATCCGCGGCGAGCATTCGCCAATCCATCCGGCGGAATGACATCGAGGAGATGGGCATATGTTTTCTTCACGCCCTCCCACCCGGTGATCAGCCCAAGACGGATACGTCGGACCCACGCATCATTGAGCTGTTGGACAGCTATGAGGATGTCTTTCAAGCTCCCGCCGGAGTCATACTGGATCGGCCCATACGCCATGGGATCACTCTCGAGGACGGCGCCGTACCCCCGCGTGGATGTATCTACCGCATGAGCGAAGAGGAACTTCAAGTGCTTCGGGCACAACTAGACGACCTCTTAGCCAAGGGCTGGATTCGCCCTAGCTGTTCGCCATACGCCGGTGCTCCCGTTCTCTTCGTCTGGAAGAAGAACAAGGACCTTCGTTTGTGCATCAACTACCGAGAGCTTAACGCGCAAACGATCAAGAACGTCAGCCCTCTCCCTCGGATCGATGATCTTCTCGAGCGACTAGGCGGCGCCAAGTACTTCTCGATGCTTGACCTCAAGTCCGGTTATCACCAGATCGAGATTCAGCCAAGAGATCGGTACAAAACCACTTTCAAGACGCGGTATGGGCACTTTGAGTGGATCGTCATGCCTTTCGGTCTCACCAATGCCCCGACTACTTTCCAAGCGGCTATGACGACGGAATTCCGCGACTTGCTCGACCGCACCGTGCTCATTTACCTCGATGATATCTTGGTTTATAGCCGGACGCTGCACGAGCACCTCGAGCACCTTCGCGCCGTATTGGAGCGGCTTCGTATCGCCAAGTATAAGGCGAACCGCGACAAGTGCGAGTTTGCCCAGCAAGAGCTGGAGTACTTGGGCCATTACGTCACGCCGCAAGGCATTCGTCCGCTCGCGGACAAGGTACAAGGTATTGAAGATTGGCCGGACCTCAAGTGTACTACCGACGTCCGCTCCTTTCTCAGCTTGGCATCGTACTACATGCACTTCGTCAAAGGATTTGAACGCATCGCTGCACTATTGCCGCGACTTCAGTCCCCCTTGGTGCCCTTCGAGTTCAGCGACGAGGCCCGGCATGCGTTTCACACGTTGAAGACGGCTTTGCTTCAAGCTCCCGTCTTAAGCATCTATGACCCGACGTTGCATACCAAAGTGACTACGGAAGCTTCCGGTTACGACATTGGCGCGGTTTTGGAAGAAGGAACTCCTAGCTTTTGTCACCGTACTTAAGCATTGGCGTCACTTTCTCCTCGGGCGTCGGCGTTTCACGTGGGCAACGGATAACAATCCGTTGACGTATTACAAGACGCAAGACACGGTGAGCAATACGATCGGTCGATGGATGTACTTCATTGACCACTTCGACTTCACCTCCAAGCACATTCCGGGTTCCTCGAACAAGGCAGCGGATGCTCTCTCGTGAAGACCTGATCTTTGCGCCTTGGTGCACTCCACATTCGGCCTCGACGAAAACCTGCAACAACACTTCGTAAACAGCTACAAGTCGGATCCGGGATTCTCCACACCCTATGTGGACTTATCATCGGACCAACCGCCGGCAAGCAACTATCGCATTGTCGACGGCTACTTGCTTCTTCATACACGAGGCAAGGACTTGTTGTGTGTTCCCCAAGACCGCATCTTGCGCACTCGCCTCCTTGGCGAATACCATGATCCGCGGCTGGCGGGACACCTTGGCGTCGCACGCACACTAGCACGACTCCGCCAGCGATTTCACTGGCCGGACATCATCAGCGACGTCAACCAGTATATTCAGTCATGTGCAGTTTGCCACCGGAACAAAGGGCGCCATCAGCTCCCTTATGGCGAACTGAAACCATTGCCGATTCCTCGGGCACCGGGTCTCTCCATTGCTATGGACATGACCGGTCCTTTCCCTCATGATCGCCTTGGTCATGATGGAATTCTCACGGTCGTCGACCGTTTGAGCAAGTACGCTCGATTTCTTCCATGCAAGTATCATGCGACGGCTCCCAAGCTCGCACGACTCTTGCATACCAGCTGGTTTTGCAGCCACGGCGTTCCGGCAGACATCGTCAGCGACCGCAACACTCGTTTCATGTCGACCTTTTGGACGGCACTCATGGTGGAATCTGACACCAGCATGAAACCGAGTTCCGCAAGGCATCGTCAAACGGATGGGCAAACGGAACGTGCGCACCAGACTGCGCAGATGATGCTCCGCACACTCATCCGCCCGGATCAGAAGGACTGGGTTGACCGCCTTCCCGACATCGAGTTCGCCTACAACACTTCAGTACACCCGGCGATTGGCGTGACTCCATTCGAGTTGCACCATGGTGGACGGAAAGGACGTATCTTTGCAGACATTTTGCTCCCACAGGCTGCCGATATAGAAGCCGCTTGCTCCCCCGCTTCTACAAGGAAGTACAGGGAACTGCTGGCCAAAGCCCGTGCAAATATGCAAAAGGCTCAGGTCCATATGCAGCAGCAAGCGAACCGGTGTCGCATGCCATGTCCAATTCTCACTGTGATCTAGTCTGGGTCGCCTCCGAGGAATTCGTGCTCGAGCAGGACGTCTCGCGCAAGCTCCTCCCTAAGTGGTTTGGACCATGGATGGTCACTTCAGCAGCTGGCGACGACCCCGCGGGTCCATCTTTCATTGTGGAGAGATTCCCCCGCATTTGACGGTCCACCCGATCTTTCACGCTTCAAAGCTGGCAGTTTACACTCCAGCCTCCGCAACAGATTTCCCAGGTAGACGGTCACAAGACCCTCCTTCAATGGATGGTCATCAGGAGGTCGACCGCGTTCTCACGCATCACAAGCATGGCAACAAGCCGATGCAGTACAAAGTTACATTCAAGCAATGCGATCCGAACGACACACGCTGGATTTCAAGAGCTGATCTGAAGGCAACAACACCCCTCATCTTCGCGCATTACGAAAAACAGCGACTTGCTAAGGAAGCTGCCCAACCTGCCCGCCCTGTACGGACATCAGACAGACAGCTTCGCCCTCGCAGTTACCTCGGTCTTTCAAGGGGGGAAGTGTGTGGCATACTGAGCCACACGGGCCCCAGTTAGGGCCCGGTTCCAAGACAAGCAGGGTAGGCCTTAGGGACGACGGTTCAGATGAGGCTCAGAGGGGCCTGGACCACGGCGGTTCAGGCAGGCCCAGGCCAAACGGCCACAAGGCCGGTACCGGTCCAGCCTAGGACCCACCGGCGGCGATTCAGAGGCTGCCACAGTTTAGGCGCCAACCAGTTTCAAAACTGGACCGTTGATCTAGATCAATGGTCCAGGCCGGTAGGTACCAGCAGGTAGCAGGCTGGCCCAGCACTACAAAAGGCCGGGTACCAGCCTCCGTAGGTTAAGTTAGTACGAACAGAGGTTAGTCTTCAGGATTAGCGCAGCAGCAGCGTTAGCTCGATTAGCGCAGCGCTGCAGCAGCAAGGAGCAGCAAGGGAGCGAGGTTCAGCGGAGAGCGGATTAGCGCAGCACTGGGCGCCTCGCCAGTTACCGGCCCAGCCGTCCCTCTGCAGCGCCATAGCCAGTTACCAG